AAATAAAGCGTATAGGGATAGATCGTAATGGAAACCAGATCGAAAATCTAGAAAATTGGTAATCCAATAATGTATAAATATTTTCATTCAACACTTTCGCTGTTTTGTTTTGATTATTTTTCAGTTTTCGTTTCTTTTGTTCGGCAATCATATTATATTTAATAGAATAGAATAGATAGATAGCACGCAATAGATTGAAATCTAGAAAATTAATAATCCAATGACGTATAAATATTTTCATTTAACACTTTCGCTGCGGATGACGCACATGTGCGTCCAACGGAAAATATATGGCTGTTTTGATTATTTTTCAGTTTTCATTTCTTTTGTTTGGCAATCATATTATATTTAATAGAATAGTATAGAATAGATAGATAGATAGATAGATAGAACGCAATAGGTTGAAAATCTAGAAAATCTAATATATGTTTTTCAAAATAATAATATTGGAACATTTGTAAGTAATTTTTCATAAAAAAAAAAATATCATAGTTGCAGCTTCCAGGGAACGGCTACTTATTTTCGTCCGCAGCGAAAGTGTTAAACTACAGTTACAAAAGATTGAATATTAAGTTTAATAATAGGAAGTACATTTAATCGAATATAAAATTGGTCCACGGTTAAATCGAAGTATGTAAGAAAAAAATTCCGAATGAGTCGATCGCCGTCGTGCCACGTGAATAATGATCACCTTTCTTCAAATTCTGTTTACCTTGAAAATCGAATGAAACGTTAAAAAAAATTTGTTCGTATATTCTATCCTCAACGTAAACAAACATAAAGGATGCTTAATAACATAAGCGACGTCCCTGACGCCTGATTTTATCAATTTACAGTATTGTGTGCTAGAAGATAATGGTCTCCTATGTACGCTCTATATAGAAGATCTGTGAAAAAGTTAGGCAAAAGCTTCTCCAAGCAACCTCCGCCAAAGAAACCTTTAAAAGGAGATAATTAAAAATTCCACGGACTGCAGCTCGCAAATAACGAAAAATTGATACAAAGTTGCTTATCCGAAGCGAAGAGAATTGACAAATAACAAATTGACAATTTTGAGAATTGACGCTGTTTATTCATTTAATTATTCGTTTAAAGTAAAAATAAGAAGTAAAATAACAATAATGGAAAATCACGCAGAGAAACTAGACGAAAGATTATTCCAGAGCGATAAAATCTAAACAGAGTATTAGATAAAATAAAACAGAGTGTTACGAATGATTGGAATAATTTTCGAGTAGCAACAAAAGGACACCGTGTCGCATGAAACGGCCGAGGAAAGAGAACGAAATCATTTCGTTCGAGATCGAACGAAATATTCAAGATCACCGCAGAAAAACGTCGAGCGTGAAACATGGAATTAGAACGACGTGGAAAGTGAAGGTCTGATCACTCGAAAGGAAAATGGAATTCCATAACTGCGCGTCGCTTTGAATTCCCCGCTGTTGTGTTGCGTGCGCATACCGCTTTAAACGTGATTGGGAAAACTCTCGCGTCGGGAAAACGAGGCCTCGCGATTCTACGGAATAGAGATCGTCCCATTATGGTATGCGACAAAAGTATAATAGGATAGACGAAGGAAAAGTAACGTTGGCGGGGATTCACGTGGGATTAATTGCTCCTACGTCCGTTGCGACGCCTATGTTTGTACCATTTTCATGCATACTTTACGATATCTTCTAACATGATTAATAAAGAAGCATTTCACTGTGAACGGACAAGAAAAAGCATATTTTCAATCATTTTTTTCTCGGGAACCGTTGCATAAATTTGAACGAATGTTTTTTCCCCTTAAAGGTATGATTAAGGAAAGTGAATAAAAAATTTTATTTTTTTTTTTGTCTTGTTTCGTAAAAAATATTTCGTTATTTATTTAGAAAATAGTATGCGTGTGTGCAAAAAGTTAATCGCTGGCGCAGATGATTTTGGCACTCCTGGTAATCCGAAACAGAAAATCGAAAAAGTTTAATAGACTGCAGGGCCGGCGCAAGGCAGGTTCCGGCCCCGCGGTCTACGAAAATTACTAAAACTATAGTAAGCAAAACTTTTTACAGACTGATGATGTCATTAACAAATGGAAGCAATTTTTGCTGAGATACAAGACATTTTTTTAGTAGCGTTGAGTGAATTGGAAGGAGTGACAAAAATCATCAAAGTATTTTTATTTAATATTCATCTTGTACAAAATATACAGGGTGTTCCAAAAATGTTGTAACACCTTGAAAGGGAACACCTTTAAGGGGAAAAACATTCATTCAATTTTATGCAATAGTTCCTGAGAAAAAAATTATTGAATATATGCTTTCTTTTTTTTCGTGCGTTCACAACGAAATGCCCCGTTAATAAAGGATTAATTCGATGGCACTTTTAGATGGAGAAAGCCTCCGAGATAATTTCAGGAAGAGCGATACAATATAAAATCTCCGAGAAAAATGTCGAAGAGAGAAGATGAGAATTACTACCGTGGAACGACTCGTGAAGACTCTGCAGAGAAGAATTTTTAGTAAGAAAGGAAGAAGAAGAAAAGCGTATGCGACGAAATTGTAGGTCGAGAAGAGGAAACCGGAAGTAAGGGGAATTCCGAAGGAGAATGCTTTGAATAAGAAAACCATCGGACTTGGAGCTTCGTAAATTTCAAGAAACAAAAGATTCAGCGATCGATATCGATTATATAAATCGTATAATATATTTATCCGTTTCGTATAAATAATTACGACTTTATGTAAGCATAGATCGAGAGAAGGAACGTTCTCGATCTTTGTGATCTAAACGATATCGATGTGACTTTGAGGAAAGTATACGTAGAAAGTACATGTAGAATGTATGTAGCGACGATGTGTCTCCGAGGACGTTGAAGAAGGAAAACGTCGGATTTTAAGACGAGGTTTTCCGATACGTAAGAATGGAGAGGAACGAGAACAATGTGGGTGTCGGTAATTCCGGGAACCCACCGAATTCGTCTTCGACGACCACGCACAACAGTAATCTTCACAACACGTCAGGTGGAACCGATGCACAGGTGCGAATTAAAACATTTGTCGTAAATAAACGAAATAATAATACCTGACGGTCTTGTGCGAAATACATCTAATACGTTTGTATTACAATGGGTATTTCCAGTTTAAGATTGAATTAAAAATACACTTATAAATATATATGTATATTTATTTATAATATAATATACATGTCTATACATTGTATACATGTATAAGTATACATTGAGTAACC